TCTGCGATGTGTCTCAGATAATCCCATTGGAGAGGCATTTCCACAGGAAGAACCGGCGCAAATACCGAAATGCCCAACTGCTCCAAATGCGCTCTACCTTCGAACTGTCTCAGAAAGTCGTCAACCCATTCCTCTGTCCGTTCTACCATTTTGATGAGCTTTTTCGATGCTGGCGTCGAGCTTGTATGGAGTGAATCTGCCAAAGGAACGACTACATCTGGCTGTAGGCTCTTGACTGCTGCCACATACTGAGACACATTGACACTTGCGAAGCCTGTTGATGTGAAGAGTGTGACGGCCTTTGCGCCGTTTCCCATAGGAGTTACGACTGCGGGGCATCTTCTTGCTCCCAGAATGGTGGCTCTATCTGATTCCAAGGCTGTGAAATTGTGTAGACGGCGGAGTGTGTCATGCTCAGGGGTATTGTAGATGGGTGGTTCCCTTCGTTCGACGACTGCTCATGTTAACTACTCTTCTGATTTCATTGTCAAAGAAATTGGGCTGTTTTGCTCACAATCTTCCAATGCCATGTAGGCAGCACCACAATTAGTATACCTGGTCACATTATCAGGCGTAAGATGAGGAATGGCGCCGCGAGATGTGATGGCAGTGTAGCTCGGAGTCTCCATCGGCCTTCTTCCAGGAATTGACAGTCGTCCGAGACGGGCAGCACAACCATCTGCAATAGCGGCGCCCAGGAGCTCGAAAATTTTCCGCGTTGGCATGTTTGAGTCGCCTGGCTGAGAGTCACACATCTTGCAATAACCAGACGAAAATTTTGCGCTGGTTGCTGGCGCGGACAGCGACTGATCAAAGACAAAATCTAACAACGACAAAGAAGAGGCCGCTCAGTAATGAGAAAACAAAGACATTGAAAAACAGTCAAGCATCGTTGAGTGAGGGTTGAGTAGGATAGGCGTCATGGGAGTCCATTCCCAGAAGGAATCTCGAAAGTGAGCAGCGAATCCGATAGCAGCCCCACCTTTTCACTTAACACCAACTCTACGCCATATCAGGGCGATATGATAACCCTAACCCTAAGCTAATTTGGAATATATAGAGAGAAAAAATGAGCGGGCACGAGTAAGTGTGTAATACTATCAATCATGTTATAGGCCCTCTTCTCTTAGGGTCTTCGGCTGCCGACCTCGGACATAAGAATTCTTGGACTCTCCCGGAGTACTCGGTACACAAGCAACTGACACGGCGTTGCTGGTGGCTGTTGCAGGCTCGTTGGACCCACTTGCCTTGACAGCCAGAACGTCGACTGGCCAATATATGGAACTTGAGCCAATAGATGGAGGTGCTCGTCACCGTTGGCCAAAAGCGGCTCGCTATGTCATGAGCCTGCGTGAGCGCCTGCCTCACGCTGGAGTGGCAGACGCTTTTTTTCCTTTGCTTGGTATTCTGTACTCTCGGCGCTGGTTCAAAAACCCCCTCGGCCCTACCCGTAAATTATTGTCAAACCTTGGGGTCGACATCTTCTTTACAGTGTGCTGGACTTTGCGGCCCGGAATAACTGCCCCTTGCCCTCAGCAAGCTTACGCATCAATTGTAAGAAGTACGACCGGCCCAGACAGCCCAGACAGCCAAGCGGCCCAGACCAGTCTCACAAAACCTCCTGACGCTTCGGGCCTTTCAAGCCGCACGCTTTGCGCACGTCGACCCATTTCCGTGTTAGCCGGCTCTGTCTGGGCGAACTGGGCTGTTTCGCAACCAACTCGTCTCGAGACCAGGCCCGTCTCGTATCTCTGTCGTTCTTGTTTACTGCATCATCATGGTCGGCCATCATGAAGACGAAGACCAGCCCCTCATGACCGAATCCGAGCGACGCGAAGCCAACGTGGGCCTCGACGACGTCGTCAACTCGGACCGTCATCAAGACGCCAGCCATCGCCAGCACGGCAACAATGCCACCACCACAACGGATGCCGGACATCCGGACGCACCTCTTGATAGCAGCGATGGCACTCTCCACGTCGAGAGTGAGAGCGACCCGCCTACCCCGCGATTCGTACAGGATGAGAATGCATGGAAGAGATGGAAATGGGTTCCCTACCCTGTGCGCCGAATGATTCGCGCCGCTGGCAAATGGTCCAAGGGCCCTACGAACCCGCAGCCATATCGCATCAAGCCGTTCTTCCCTATGATTCAGGAATACCCGTTGTTCCTCGTGGACAAGTTTCTCCCCACGGTAAAGCGACGCTTCTGGGTGCTCTTTTTCTATTTTTCCATCTGGCTTATCACGTTTGTGCTTGTCAAGAGACAGGGAACCATTGCCACCGAAGTTGCTGGATGGGGCCAACCCCAGACCATTGGATGCGGCGCGTCATACTGGGGTTCAGGCAATTCATGCGGCGTTGACGGGAACGACTGCCGCCCGTTCAAAGGCAGTGGCTTCGCGTTCCGGTGCTCAGCAAATTGCGCCAGCTATCAAGTACTCAACCCGAGGGCTGTTGGCGACCAGGAAGTCATTTATCAGCCCTTGATTGTAGGCGGGCCGTCGAATGATGTTGCGCCTGAGAATGCCACCTATCGAGGGGATTCGTACATTTGCGGCGCCGCTATCCACGCCGGCGTCATTTCCAACGCTAATGGGGGCTGCGGCGTCGTCAAGCTCGTCGGCAGGAGCCAGAATTATCTGAGTACACAGAGAAATGGCCTCACCAGCATACACTTCGACTCGTATTTTCCGCTGTCATTTTCGTTTTTGCCAGACGTCCATTGCGAATCCCAGGACACGAGGTGGTCGCTGTTGGCCATCTCGGTCGTTTTCACTGCCGTCTTGTCGGTCTTTACCTCGTCTCCAGCCATGTTCTTCTTTCCGACCTTCGTCGGCGTCTTCTGGACGGTGGGCATGGCCACCGATCCGCCAACCAACAGGTCCGTCACAGCATTATTCTCCAACATTATGGGCAAGTTCCTGCCAGCCATGTTTGTCGCCTGGGTCATGTACGACAAGATGGGCGTCCGTCGCACGCTCAGAGGCCTGACTGCGCAAATCGAAAAGACTGTTCTGTGGCTGGGAGCGTGCTGGGTCGGCGCCCTGGACAACTACACCCTCAGCTTTATCCCCATTCAGCGTCTCAACGCCCACGACCTGAATCAGCAGCCTGGCGCCAAAGCAGCGCTGTCCATCATCATCATTGTTCTCGTCGTCATCGTCGCAACCCAAGTGTGGTTCTTCCGTCAAGAAGCCCGCTTCATCAAATACATTAAGCTCTACGCCATCTTCCTCCTCGGCATCATCATCTCTCTCCTTCTCCCCGGTCTCAACTTGCGTATTCACCACTACATTCTCGCGCTTCTCTTGCTCCCGGGAACGAGCCTGCAGACACGGCCGTCTCTCCTCTACCAAGGGCTCCTCATCGGCCTGTTCATCAACGGCATTGCCCGCTGGGGATTCGACTCTGTTCTACAGACCTCGGCCGCGCTTCAAGGTGATGCCCAAAAGGGAACACCTCTGCCTACAATTCACGCTCCCGTCATAGATATTTCAAATACAACAGCCGTGCAGTCAAATATTACATTTACTTGGGATAAGTCGGAGTATATGCAATTTGACGGCATTAGCATTCTCGTCAACGATGTAGAGCGATTTAGATCGTATTTTAACGATGTCGACGCCAAGCACAAGTTTGTTTGGTCAAGAAATAAGACGCTAGGTTTGCCAGAGTACTTTAGATTTGGGTTTATGGATGGTAGCAACAGCGGGGACTATACCAAGGCCGGCATCTGGACTGGCGCAGGGGAGTGGGTGGAGATGAAGCCGGGCGCGTCAAAGGTCAAGGTCAGGAGTTTGGGGGAAGATGTCGCGAGTGTGGTGAGGTAGTTTTGAATGTACTTGTATAATGGCTCATTGCTGGTTGATGTCTCCTGTTTGTTGTAAGGTGAGTAACCGTGGTGAGTAACCGGGATCACCTAATATCCAACCGAATTAGTCGCCTTCCCCATGCTCAATCTATAAATGATCTATATCCCATTTTTCACAACATAAAACTATGTAGTCTCCATCAGTGCTGCTCATACAGGAATTATACTGTTTTCGTCCATCAACCAAACTCCCACGACGGCAATGTACGCCGTCTCCACTCTGACACTTGCCCACCTCACTCTCTCACCCGTCTCTCGCTCAAACATCACCAGCAACGACAAATCCCTCCCCTTTCCGAAAAATGCCTCCCCGGGTACCAACGCAAGAGGACTTCTCTCCCCTTTCGTCCACCCTCCCCCTGGCCCTGCACTTCCCCTCGCCAGCCGAATCAACGACCGCCTTCCTCATCCTCTTCCACGGCCTGGGCGACTCCGAGACGCCCTTTGCCAACTTTGCCCGCAACCTCAACCTCCCCGGCGTGCTGGCCATTTCCGTCCGCGGCACACGCCCGCTCCCGCCGTCGCTCGTCGACGACTCGCCTCTGTCGGCGGGGCATTTCCACTGGGGCGATGACATTGCGCTGGACCAGAGCACGGGGGAGCTGGACCAAGACCCGGGGTTCACCAGGGCCTCCGGACTGGTGGTGCGGGAACTGATTGAGGGTGTGCTGGTTGACAAGTGCGGCTGGGAGATGAGCGACGTGCTGCTGTTTGGCTTCGGGCAGGGCGGCTCGTTGGCTTTGGGGATGGCCGCGCAGCTGGCTGCCGAGCGTGTCGTGGACGTTTCTGCGTCCGGGGAAGGGAGGAGGGCGTTTAAGGGTGTTGTTTCGATTGGCGGCGGTCTGCCTGGGAGTATGGTGTCGACGAGGCGTGACAGGGAGAAGAGCGATACGCACGTGTTGGTATGCCAGGTCGATGAGGATACGGAAGACAGCATCAGGCAAGAATTCAAGAATGTACAGGTCGTGAGGTGGGGAGGGGGCGAGGTGCGAATGCCGAGGGATAGGGGCGAGGTTTTTCCCGTCATGAAGTTTTTTGCGGATAGGCTTAAGAGCGGCTGGCCTTGATTGGGGGAGGGGGGCTACAGTGTGGTGGTGAAAACAGTTCTCGCATTCAAATGTTGATTGCTATGTGGTGGTGTCGACGTCGCCGGCCTGGAGCATGTCCGCCAGGATGTCCCATTTGGCGGACTGGGCATCGCTTGTGGCGCGCGCAACGCTCCGGAGACCGGACCATATGAAGCGTACTTGTCTATCTACTTCTACTTTGATGTCCGTCAACACCTCTTCATACGATTTGCCGACGTGGGCCTCTTCCTCCGTATCGACGACGCCGCTTCTTATTCGTTCTAGCTTTAGAGAGAGATCAAGCATGTCAAGAATGCTTTCTCTGATAGGTGTTAATCTACTTCCGAGACAAGCCTGGTCAACCATTGCCTTGAGGGCTTTCTCATGGGTGGAGATAAGGTCGTCCATGTCGTGGGATACCCCGAGATCACGACGTAGCTGGATGTCAATGGGGATGAGGACAAGAGTGGTGAGATATGTCTGGATAGTAGTGCAGAACCAGAGGAGTTTGCTGCGGGCAGAGTAGAAAGTGGCACTAGCGTTCCAGTTATCACGGTCTGTCCAGTAGTTATCCAGCATTCTCGGAGACTGAAGCGCGTGCGTGGCGCGTTTGAATTGCAGCAGGAGTGTGAAGAGGGACTGGTAGTGGTGCATGCTTGTGTCGTTGAAAATCATTTGGAGAGGCCAGGGAAGACGGTAATTGACAGTTATGCCGCTGAGGACGGAGCGAACTAAGTTACGGCATTGGATCGGCGGCAGGTTGAGCATGTTCTCGGAGACGGTGACAGTCAGACGACTAGGATCAATGGTGGTGAAGCTATCTTGGGCCGCCGCCGTTAGCGCATACCGGTCTGACCAGTCTGCTCGTAGGGAGTCGAGCTTGGCGAATATGTTGGCGGAGAAGGTGGATGATGCTGAGCCGTCGGACATGAGGTAGATGGCGTGAAGAGTGTCAAGGGTTGATGAGAGTGCCCAGTCGTCAAAAAGGGTGCGTTTGAGTGTCGTTGATGTTGCGCGATACTTGCTTTGGATCCAGCGGTCGAATGCTGTGTGGAATAGCTCTGCAAATGGGACGAGTTCTTGTCCGGCTGGACATATCGTTTCGTAGTCAAGAGACGGTTCATTTCTGGCTTTTAGGAAGACTGCTGCGTCGTGTTTTCCGAGTAGTTTTAGAACAATAATGTTCTTTCCGGCATTGTAGATGTTACCTAAAGCTGTTCGAAGAAAAGCCGGTGCGTGTAATGCTCCTTCTGGCGTCCGGCGCAAATGGTATCGATCTTGCCATGTTTTCCTCAACGGTGTGTTGGGTGATACCTCCGCTACGAAAAACAAATCACTGGCTGAAAGGAGCTTGCCTTCGTCCATCCATAGGCGAATCGGCCGCAGATACACCCTGAAGCATTCGGAAAAAATGCGCGCCAGAAATTCATACAGTTCTGCCTTTCCGCTGAGCTGCGCGACGCAAGCCTCGTCGAACACCAGCTCCAGATATCGGAATGGTGTGGATTGGGGCCCAGCCTCGATCGTTGACACAATACTAGCTAGGGCATGCAATGGTTGCAGCCAGGGTATCAGCTTGGCCTTGATGCCGACAAGGCTCAGCACAACATCTGCTGAGGGTGCTACTAGACAAGTTTGCAGTTCGGATATGTGGTAGTCCAGCTTGCGCAGTCGATCGGAGATGCAATCCTGAAAAGCTTGCAAATGAGGAACATCTTGTCGCTGCCCCACAAACAACCGAAGTCTTCGAAGGTGGCCGCCAAAATCTGTGAAAGTCTGCATGATGGCTCTGTATGGCTCCCATTCCATGTTATCCAGCTGGTAAGATGGGACTGCCACGCAATTTTGAGTGAAGAGGGTACAGTCGAGTCCTTGGAGCATGAACAGGACGTCCCGTACAACCTGGATTTCGGAAACGGCTACTTTCCGTGTCTGTCTTGATAGGTCTTGGGGTGGTAGCTGTATTCTCCATTTCTGTGCAGTCTGCACCTGTTCAAGGGCATATGTGTCTTCAGGGCGGGATATGTAACATGCTGCTGTGCGTACCTCGGAGCCCCCGTCGCCATACAACGTAACCTGGGGTTCGGCAGTGAATTTTTGCTCATAGACGTCATCTTCAGAATCGTCGCTGTAATTTATGTTCTGCCAAAGAGAACCATCTTCGTCCCAGCCGTCTTCCTTTGCAATATCCTCCCAACGCAAGGCTATTGTAGGTGTAGCCTCGCTGTGTCCTAGCAGCTTCAAGTCGCTGAGGCTGGATTTAAACGTGGGTTGATCAGATAGTTCCAAAAAGAGGTGCAAGATTTCAGGATGCCATTTGGATGGAAGGCTTGTTAACCTCACCAACCGTTGTCGTAACGCATCCGCTAAATCATCCCTGTCGTTGATGCGAAACCGCTCGTCAAGACCGTCCAAGACCTTTTCTACTTCAAAATGATTGGTTTGTAGAAAGGTATGTGACTTCAATTTCCTCAACGAAGCATCACTGATTTTATCAAGCCTTGAGGAGTCTGCCTAATTATCGCGTCAGGACAGGTAGTAATGGCATCGTCACAAGCAGCATAACAGCGTAGCAATTCAGGAAGGGAGGCGAATCGTACTTGAACAGACGGAGGTGCCAGCACCTCAACTAGCTCGCGCGTTAAAGCGCCCAGCTGTGACGCAAAAGACATGGCGATCTGCCTTGTCCATCTTCCACTGAAGACGCAGCGGTGCCTGGTCTTTGAGAGACGGACGGCAGTACTTGGACGAGATGGAGGAATGCCCAAGTACATAGTATAAAGCCAATATTTGGTAACTACCAGTTGACGTAGCGGGGCACCCAGACTTCCGGCGCGCTTGGCTGGTGGGGTTTTGGATGCGCGTCAAACCAGTAGCTCCAAGCCCCCTTTCTAACTTTACAGTGTGCAGCGGGGACCGGAGTCCCAGCACGGTATCCTGCTATCGCGCACTCTACTGGAAAATACCGTAATATGTTAGTATTTACTTGGTGCTTGGAACTCATATCCTCGACCTTTGCGACCAAGCTTCTGGTCAATCCATCCACGTCTCAGCAACACGCAAGCCCACACTGTCTACCTACCATCAGACAACGCACTCGAATACGGTTTATCCGTCGACTACTTATACCATTCTAGCTGTTTCGTGTCAACCCAGCCGGGTTGTGGACCGTGTACAAGGCAGAAAGAACATTGCGCCCGAGCATCGTAGCTCGCTCAAACAACACACCATGGCAATCGCACGACCCGTCAGGGTCCTGCTGTTTGCTGCCGCTATTCTCTGGTGTTTTTTTCTCTATCAAGTCTTTCGGCCGTCATCGGGTCTCCGTGGGCCGGGCGAGCGCTATGTTAACTTTGAGCGTGATCCCAATCTAGATCGTTCGTCTTCCATTTCGCGCAATCAGGTCCAATCCCAGTCTAATCAAGTTGGTAATTATAGCTACGGGAGAACCAGAAGGGGTTCTCGTGCGCACTTCGGACAGATATGCACCAGATGCCGCTGACACTGACCGAGTCAATGCCACATTGCTGGCTTTGGTGCGAAATTCAGAGGTTGATGAAATGGTTTCCTCAATGGAAGACTTGGAGCGAACATGGAACAGCAAGTTCAATTATCCATGGACTTTTTTCAATGATGAACCTTTTTCAGAAGAATTCAAGAAGAAGACCCAGGCTGCTACCAAGGCCAAATGCAACTACGGTAAGCTTCAACACGGGCTGCCCACTGTCGAAGCCAGGTTTGTCTAATTTGATACAGAAATCATTCCGAAAGAGCATTGGGCCGTCCCGTCATGGATCGACCAGCAGCTGTACGACGAGTCTACTACGATACTGGAGAAGGGAGGTGTTCAGTACGCGAAAATGATTTCATATCATCAAATGTGCCGATGGAACAGTGGTCTCTTCTACAAGCATCCTGCTCTTCAAAACACCAGGTGGTATTGGCGCGTCGAGCCCAAAGTCCATTTCTTTTGCGATGTTGACTACGATATTTTTCGATACATGCAAGATAACAACAAGACGTATGGCTTCACCATCACGCTGTACGACGAGCCCAAAACACTGCCCACTCTGTGGCCTGAGACGGTCCGGTTCCTCGCTGATCACCCTGAGCACCTCCATACCAACAATGCCCTCAACTGGCTTACCGACTCTGAGAGACGCCCAGCGCATAACAAGGCGGCTCAGGGCTATTCTACATGCCATTTCTGGAGCAACTTCGAGGTTGCGGATATGGACTTTTGGAGAAGCAAACCGTACGAGGACTACTTTAATCACTTGGATCGAGCGGGCGGCTTCTTCTACGAGCGATGGGGCGATGCTCCCGTCCACAGTATCGGTCTTGGCCTGTTTGAGGACAAGAGCAAAATTCATTGGTATGCCACCGTCAAGAATCATTCAAAGAAATTGAATTACATTGCTAATTGTAAAATAGGTTCCGCGACATTGGTTATCAGCACATTCCATTCTTCAACTGCCCTAATTCACCCAAGTGCAGTGGCTGCGTTACGGGACGCCTTACCGACGGGGAAGCTTTTTTGCACCATGAAGATTGCAGGCCGAACTGGTTCAAGTATGTCGGCTTGGGATAATCGCCCATCGACAACGAGGGGGATGGAGATGTGAACTTGTCTTCTCTTATAGGGTGACTTTGCCCGTCGCGTAATGACACATCAATCGACTGTTGGGAAATTTGGAATAATGATACTGGGACAACAAAGCTTGGGATCCGCAACGGGAGCATTTGATTCGGGATCTAGGTGTTCATGGCGCTTGCTAGGCTGAGATCATTTTGTCTCTGACCATGTTAATTCGTGTTTCCACAAGAAAACAAGACCTTGCGATTCGAGGATAGGTGGCGTCCCTTGCATCATGCGTCAATATAAATGACTTTATGAAAGAGGCTTTGAACTTGGTTGAAAGCATTTACGTAGTTTTCCTTATTCGCATGTAGCTGTATAACCTGTATTATACATTGAAAACTGCAACGACGCCGGAGGAGCCTCCCACACAAAATTGATCTCCCCAGCCATCTTCTTTCCACGCCAAACAGCTGATCACATTACTACGTTGTTTTTCTTTGCCGTCTCTGCCAATAGCTTTCTTCTTTTGCTCATAACCCTGCGGGCCCCAAGGAACATTCACTTTGGCGACAACTTTGCCCGTGAGCAGATCCCACGCCCATACTCTACCTTCGCCATTGTTCCCAGGTTCCACGGCCATTTCGTCGCCTGCAATCACGTACTTCTCCCGTTGGCCTAAGAGTGATTGTACTCGAATTTCTTCGTTCTTCCATACAGGGTCGCAATATGCCCGAAGGCAACTGCCGTTCTCGCGATCCATCAGTCGCACTTTGCTGTCCAGTGTGCCCACCAACATTGACCGGCCATCCTTTGTGAGAGATAGACTGGTGACGCTTGCTCCCATAACATCCGTTGTGCAACGGCCCATCCTTACATCGTAGCTTCTCACTCTCCCATCCACACTGCCGGTCACGATCTCGGGGCCCCGAACAACTAGCGACGTGATTGCGTCTCGGGCGTCGTTCAACACCTGAATAGGTTTGACACTGCCGCTCTTCACGTCCCATATTCGCGCGGTGGTGTCAAAGCCACCACTCACGACCAAAGAATCGCCATCCCCTGCGAAGCTGACACAATTGATTCGTGCTGAATGTCCGTGAACGTTGCCTCCAAACCGTCTCGTTGTGACTGCCGTAGCAACGTCCCACAAGAAAACAGAGCGGTCGCCACCGCCCGAGATAAATTTCTCATTGTCCGCTGCGACATCTAAACTGAGTACTTCATATCCATGTGCTGAGTACGTTTGAATCAGACGGCCTTGCGGCGCCGCTGGCTTTGGTCCAGACTGAGGCTCTGGCACGGCAATGTTAGAAAATGGGTTGTACAGGCGGATGGAGCGATCTCCGGAGCCTGTCAAGATGTAGGATCCGGGAGACGCTGAGTACTTGACGGCATGGACGGGGCCTATGATTCTGGGTGTCAATATGGCCTTCAAGATAGTTTTCGGCTTCAAGCTTGCTAAAAAGCCGACGTACCATTAGAACCAAGCAGGTAAGCCGCTGGTTTATCTGGGAAATTCATTTTGACTAGCAGTATCCATCATTTTCGTACCTTCGAATGGGTTGGTGGGTTGTCAGCAGTTTCCCATTTGAGGTCAACAGTGTGTTGTTGGATGCTCCTTGCTAGAGCAGCGCTGGATGGTGGTCAGCTAAGCGATTCATACAAGGAAGGCGCCAAAACCTCTCTGATTGGCTGCTTTAGCGGAACACCACCACCACTTTCACGTCTGGTCAACAAAGAGGCTCTTTGCTTTTCTCCCCGACTTCGACTTCTAGACACTTTCATTTCACTCTTTACATTGTACTGAGAGGTATACAATCGTTCCAAAAGCACACTGTTTCATTTGTACCGGTATGTACGGTTATTGAATATATGTGCGTCCCTCATACATGCTTCCTTCGTTTCTATTTCAGTACTGGCCGAGTTTGGCGTGACTCTCCCGCCCTATCTATCATCATAATCCGTGAGGATCCGCCTCGGCCGCCGTTCTTTGCTTCCCAATATAATGTCTGAATACATAAGGTGAATAATGATCCTGACCAGTACTGTTAAACTTGACTTGTCAACCTGACAGTCACCCAAAAACTAGGAAAACGCCGACTCATGCAAAAATACCAGACAAAAAAACGAGGCACAGGATATGGGTTTTAATTTGGTGAACAATAGACCACATCCATATCGATGGGGTATGCCCGCTCCAAAGGACGGAGGATCTGCCAGTGAGGTTGCTCAGTTCTATCGCTAGCGAAGTTGCTAACACAAACGTCATCAAAGGACCTTTCCCTGGAGCCTTGGTCCCGAATTCTATACAGCTTTTGGAGTCGCTGGTCCAAGGCCATCTGAAAAGTGCGGGCATGCTCCCAGATGTTTGCACAGCTATCCACTGTTGTTCTAGCAATTCGCATGCTACCGATCACTTCGTGCATGGCGCTCAGAGGTCCACTTGAAGTCAAGACATCCATGGCAGTGATCACGGCAATGCTCATGGCTGGTGGAGGCGTGCTCAGAATGGTTGGTCGAATACGCAAGAGGCGATCCAGGCAGCTCACAATTTCAATAATACTACTCGCGTTGTCCCGGCACTCCTGAAAGTGGCTTGAGCGATATTCAGCAGACAGTTTCCCAACGGACAGATGATATCGGTTTAGTTGGATAAGAGCATGGTGGCAAAGGAGATGCATGGTCAGAAACGATCCAACCTTTCCAGAAAATGCTGCCGACTCTAGATTAGAGGCACCAAAAGACAGTCTCAATGGGAGCGCGGAATGCCAGTCATGGACTCTCTTGGTAAGAGAGCGGACTCGCAAGCCTTCGGCATCGGACCCATTGGGTCTGCTGGCTAGTCTGTGAATTGTTGATTGGCAAGATGACCAAATGTGGACTATCTCAACGAGATGGCTTGTGATATCGGAAGGCTTCTCGTTGAAATTATTGAAGCTGCTTTCATACGGGTTAAACATGGGCATCCGCGCATCTAGTTGCTTCTCAAAACTCTCTGAATCAGACGGAAGTCGAATGTAAATATCTTCAGCGTGCATCATCGTCGGCCTCTCGGGGAATAGCGGACTTAGTCGTTCTAGCATAAACAAC